CGTTGAAGCCTGCTTCCCTCTTCTTGATCCTGTATTTTCACAGAGGTTCGCTTTGTGCCTCAAGAAAAGATAACACTTGTCCAATACTTAATGGAAATGTTGTTCTCCTCGGGGGTTGTTTGGTAAGCGGCATGTGTCGCTGTGTGAAGAAAACATTACATTCTCAGGAAAGGATTTTAAATTCCTCCTGCGCCTGTGGTGTTTGCTTTTATCAAATTTACCATTCTACACTGTTTACCAAACAGTCAAAGCTGTTTGGAAGGAAAGTGTTCTCATCATGGCCTACAAGTGTAAATTTTAGGCTAGTTTGCATATAATAGATAGTTTTTCAGTTTGGTTTTTCTTTTCTATATATATCATATTGTGTCCACTCTACCCAGACAAAAAGTACTGAGGATGGAAAGTGGCGAGACATGTGGCTGCGATCAGTGAGGAATATGTGTATTATTCCCAAGATCGAAGACGATCAGTCCACTGAGGCAGATGAACAAGGGCTGCAGGTTTGTCACTCTGACTTAGCCTGTTCATTACACAGATAAGGAATTGGGGCTACATACAGAGATGGTGACACGCTGGACCTCAGTGCAGCTTGACATTTCAGACTGTGATTAGTTAGAGATTCCACCCGTCAGAGGTTACGGAGGATGGACAAGGTCTTTTAAAACCCCTCGTTGAAGACACGACGGCATGTGGTGCATGGGTGGTTCAAGCTGTCAACAAGTGATTGGATGTGTTTTTAAAAGGCATGTATCTATCTGTTGACATAAACAGATATCGAGAAGTACAGTAGACTAATTCCATGGACGTCATTAGGCCACAATGTTCGAGAAGATCACAGTAGACATACACTCTTGTATCTGACATTTTTACAGCTCAGTAGATGTACACATAGGCTGTACCAGAAGCAATCGAAAATAGAACTACCATATAGACTAATGTGTTTTTCAAACTACATTGAAATGAATTTAAAGGACTGCAGGATTCTGATGGTATTTATCATTGGATCATCATGAACTAGCATCTCCTGATCTCTTAAGTGACAGCCGTAACATCATTTCATACATGTTTTTTTTCTATTTCTATGACTGAAATTGAGACGGTTGACAAAATTATTGCTGGTGGTAGTGGGGAAAACACTGTCCGAAAAGAGCAGGCAAACCTGTGCCAAAGTTGTGTTTAAGTATTCTTTTATAGGCCAGTTCACAACCACAGAAGTTTGCCCCTCCTCCTACAAAGCAAATTGTGTGAGCAGTGTTTACAAAATGAATGGCTGCAAGATGTTTCTTTAGAAATCTGCATTTCCACCAGACACTTAAAAGAAGGCATGGGAGTCTAAGCAATGCACAATAGACTGTGATATTATGGCATTTTTACTTCATTTAATGTACATTCAGGTACTCAACCATCATTAGCTATAGAAATAATAATGATTTTTGTGTGATTTAGGTGAGATTAAAGACCAAGTCCATTTCCCATTTATTGCTTGTTAATTGATGATTTAGGGGCAGGACTTTTTAATGAAATATCCTTCATTTCTGATGAGTTCTTCGGGTAGGATGATTATAATAATATTATAATAATATTCTTTAGGGAAGGGAACCTTTTTGTGGCTTGGGGCAGGAGACAAACTTTCTTGGCAATATAATGTTATATGTAAGTATATGTCTGACAAATGTTTCTCCACTACAAAGGTATTTTGGTCCATTTAAGTCCATGTGGCTGGTCACTTGTATGTCCATGACACAAACAAAAACAGCCAAATAACTTTTTTTTTTTTTTTTTTTCTGACAAGAGGACCTTATTTAGTGTCAGCTGTGGTGAATAGTGGAAAACATATTTTGTATGCTTTTTTTAGATCCAGAAAATCCAGAATTATATAAGTTAATCTTGAAAATAACCGATAAAGCACATGCAAATTGTTTCAACTTTAAATTATTTACAGAAGTATGACGCTGTAGTGCTCTTAGTGGTAAACATCATTGAGTCATCAATATTCTTAAGAGCCCTCCATACTTAATTCAAGAGCCCTTTTTTTCCTCATTGTTTCACATCATAGAAATGTCAAACACTCAACATGTCCCATTGTCTTTTTCCAATTTAAATACAAAATCATTTTGTAATTTGAATCTTCCAAAACAAAATAGCCTTGTCGGGTCCATAAACGCTGAATTTTTTGGTTCTCCATCTGTCAGACCTGCCATGTTGCAACGGTGCTAGAATGGTGATTGTCCAGAATTTGTTGGACATAAATGGAGCGAGATGTGGGGTGTAATATTTACCTTTCAGCAGCACTGATAGAATCATGGCTCCTGTAATAGTTGAATGGACACTCTGTGGCACAAAAAAAAACGCACCTCCTATGTCTCATCCACTCACCACGCTCATTGTGTAATTTATTGGTTGGATATAATATTTCTGTGCTGGAGAATGGTTATGAATGGTCGATCATTCCTACATGTTTTATTAACCATCAGTCTACCAGGGACTGCTTGGAGAGCCAAGCCATGGCTCTGAGTGAGGCCCGAGCCAATGCATCCCCCTGGCTTTGGGAAACTTGGCTGCATTCAGGAAACTGAGGCCTCTGCTGGCCGCTGCGCATGTGGCTTGAATGGCTATGTGATGTGACTGTGGCTTTATTGATGTAGTGCCAGTGCCCACATGTTGGCAGCACCCCTGTGAGCTGGATGTTGTTGCCCCGGAGTCGCTGAAGCATCCAACAGTTCAACTTATATTTAATACACTGCACTGTACATGACAGCTGGCTAATGCTTTGAACCACACCAGCAACTCTTTTTTTTTTTTTAGCATTCTGCCACATTTGGTGCTTCTTGCGAAGTACTAAACAGAATGAAGAAAAACATTTGATATTTCTTCTCTAGCTGCTATCACAAGTAGTTAAGCCTGCAGTAACTGCAGTTTTGGCCATTTGGGGGCAATGGAAACGAGCTGATAGTTCCCTTTAAAGTTTATACGGTGAACGTGTTAGCAAATAATTGCTAATTTAGATATCCAGCAGACACAGGGCAACATTAGCATTCATTTGAAGTTGATTCTGGTCCCTTGCTGAATTAAGTCCAATATTCACTCTCTTTTAAGTCAAATTTTGGTCTCTACCAACTCCGGAGAAAAATAATTGGCTCATCACTAGAAACTACAACTGCACATAGGCTAGTCCATTGATCAATAGTTAATATGAAAATATAATATAACAGCTTTAATGTTTAATCAAAATGTCTTTGCTATCCCCTCATCTGCAGTATGGACAATCTGGCAATTTTATGATTATATAATCTGGAAGTAATGTTTCCCTGGCTGATATCCCTTAGATAAAGAGAATCTATAGGCTCATGTTGATCAATAACAATGGAAGGTCTGTTCATAGTGGCGACTCTGCAGTCACTCTTTACTGGAACAAGCTAATTTCACAACCAGGAAGCACACGTCACTACATTGTTGTCTAAAAAATCCACTTTTAAGAACAACACGCTGCCCTTGGTTAATGCGTACAAAATGACCCTTTTAACCCTTACGTCATATTTCCCACAAATCCATGCAGTCTTATTGTCAGTGTGTATTTTTCACATTCTGTGTGGATGAGACTCACATAGCAATGACTCTTCACACGGCCAGGGGCCATCCAGATTAAATAGGATGTGTCTGCTGAATATTATTTTCTTTTTCAAATGGCATCATGCTAAATTATTCACAAAGATGATTTTCAAAAGCAGAATTATGTCCCTCATTTTCCATTCTGTGTTGTTCAGAAAAGAGCTAAGCAGATGGACTGAATGTTAATGAACGCTTGTGAGTTCTTCCATCACTGGAATAAGCTGCTTCTTATTGAACATTTATCATAGAGCAATTGAGTAACTGCTTCTTTCACAGCGCTAAAATAATACGCTGCCGTGACGATTGTAATAATGTGAGCTTTGTCCATTTCCTTCAAGGATGTACGGCTGATTTCATTGGAATAAAAGCAGAAAAAACGCAGCAGAGGATGTTTCTGTGGCTAAAAATTGGCAAAACACTCTTCAGAGTTGCAAATGAATGAAAACAGGAATCATGCAGTAAATGGATGGATTAAATAAAATTTATTTGCAAACAAAATTCACTTGTTTCAGACACTGTTTTCTATAGATTTGTAAAGAAATTATTGAACTGGTAGTGGTGACAATCTACACAGGGACAGTAGATGGTGGTGTCTTCACTCATTTGCAGTAAACACTGACTACATGAATCAGCCTCACTCTCTCACACACACACACAATCACTCACACGCTGTTTGTTCTAGTCATCAGTCCACCACATCGCAGTGGAGTCAAACTCCTCTTGAAAACAAGTGGTTGCATTTATTGAAGTGGTGTAGATCAATACTTTCCCCCCATCACTTTCATTGCCATTACAGTACAGTTCTCTTTTTTTCCATTCTGGCTTTACTGTTTTGTGTGGAAGCATTGGTATTGTCTCATACGTTTAACCCTTTAAATTAAAAAAATGACCTTATGGGTAAGCCTCTTTTTAGCAGTAGTTTGACGCATGCATGAGATATTTATTTTGTCTGTTTAATTAAAGATTATAATGAATGTAAGAAAGCATCCATCCTGTTTTTCCCTCTTATTTTTCCTCACCATCTTATTGCCTGATAGTGAAATTTTCATGCTTTCATGATATGGCTACACAGTGTTAGTGTCTAAACACAAACATACACAATAACTCCAAATTAACATGCTGTTAAAATGCAATGTCTGACATCCTGTGCTGTCATTCAGTGCTTTTTGCATTTTAGGAGCTGTTTCCAAATGTGTTTATGTGAACATGTGTAGCTCACGAGAGGTTGTGCATCTTCCACTGTAGCGCCACACCTCCCCTTTGCCTCTGTCTCATCTCCCCTCCCTCACTCATATCCACTCCCTCTCATCTTCCCTCCCTTTACTTTGCAGCGAGGCAGTCAGCGTGCCCGAAAGAGCGAGAGGGAGAGCCACAAACTGTCAGAGGAGAACAGAGTTTGCTCTCCTTGCTTTTCCGCTGCTTTCACACATCTCCTCATTTGCGGGGAAAAGAAGAAAGCATTGAGATCAGCACGTGTGGACTTCATTCCTCTTTGAGTCAGCTGTTTAAAATCTCAGTGACCCCTCGAGATCGGAGAGATCCTTAATGACTTCTGGCTCCTCACAAACCTGCGGCCTATAGTTCTTGCTCTTGACTTCCTCCCATCTTACTCTTACCCAGACTGGATTTAGGGAGCGAGGGGGCAGTAGTCGGGTGCCAGGAGGCACCCGGCCCTTGCGCGTGGGCCGGTGTAGCGCTGGAGTGGGTGCAGGGGAACTGGAGTGCAGGGCCGGGTGGGAGCGCTGGTCCTGGCGGCGGCCCCGAGGGCGAGGAGGCCGGCTCGGGCTCCGGGTTCGGGTCGGGGTATGGTGGCCAGGAGTGGGCCGAGGGTGGAGCGATGCTGAGTGCGATCTGGGAGACAGAGGGGCTGCAGACGGTGGGCATCGTGGTGCTGGTGTTCGCTTCGATCAAGCTGCTGCACCTACTGGGGCTCATCAGCTTTTCAGAGGGTAAGACGCTGACGGAGACTGAGGAAGAGAGACACAGAAATGAGGAGATAGATGACACAGAAATAGAGAATTAACAACTGAAATAAGAAATTGCTGGCCGATTGATATGTAATGTGCTATGAATATTGCTATTTCCCCTCAATTTCCAGCTCCTCTTCCCTTGATAAACCAGGGTTACTCTTTGGTTGCGCCTTTAAAATGCACTTTAAATTTCTGAGACAGCAATTTGAAAACTTGATGAGTTAATTGAGGTCGCCATACTAAAGCAGGAAAGACTCGATGACTCAGAAAAACAAGTGGACGGTCTTATGAGTCGAAGTTGTGACAACACAAAGTGTGACAGAAATATGTGTGAGCTTGTGATGTGACTGCAGGGAGGAAGATCTTGAGCACTGAAAATGTGTCAGTTCAGAAAGATCGAAAAGCTTGAGAGGCAAGTTCTTTGATTGGATTTCTACAGCTGAGAAAGAAAAATGAAAAGAATTCATTATGTCATTATGGTCCCCTCTTTTCTTGTGTACATAGTTTAATGAAAAACCTGTGCGCAGTCATGTTTATTAGCTTAAAATACACTTCTTGATGTAAATGCGTATCATTGTGCACTCAAAGCAAACCCATCATGCTGTTAAGTAAGGACAATGTAAGGCTCACTAAGTCAGACCTAAATAAACTGTTTAGTTTGGACCTACTGCAGGCATCTCATTAAATAAAGTAGAGCAGCATAGTAAGCAGTATGAGCTCAACATCAGCCCATCCATCAGACTGCTGTTTAGCAAACACGCCTTAATTTCTAATTAGGATTATCAATCAGAAGCCTCCACTGCTGTATGCATATTCAGGGAGACGATAAGAAAAGTGATAATAGTGGGTAGCTGGAAAAAGCTGACCTGACCTGAGAGAGGTGTTTAGATGGAAGCATGGAGGCGTTAGTGTCTGCGGATTGGGCTGTTGTGTTATTTGAAAGGCACATGGGAGCAGTGTTTTCTTTTGGGGGGCAACTACGAAACAGCTTATATGCTTCACTAAACAGCGGAAAGATGAACCCCCCCCCCCCAACACACACACACACACACACACACACACACACACACACACACACACACCTCACTCTGCATTAACAAATGCAGCCAGCGTGATTATTGATTATTTCCCTTGCTGTGATGATGATACAGACGTCAAACCAGTGTGCTGAGAGCTGTTTGCCTGTTGGTGTGATCTGTATTCCCCACGGGTGTCCGAGGGTAATTAGTTACAGCATATCTGCTATCTGAGCCCATTGTACCCTGGCAAGCAGTCAATATAGGTATTGATGATGATGTGCGTGTGTTTGAAGTCGTGTACGGGAGAAGAAGGGGAGGCATTAGCAAAAGAGACTGAAGATAAGTATGAAAATCTTCTGATGATTTAAGAAGTAGTCTTGAAAAGGAGAGATCAAACATTTCAACACTAACAATCACAGCTGTGTCTATGAGTGTCATTATCAATCTGTTAATTACTTTCTTAGTTATTAAATTAGTGAAAATGTTTCTTCCCCGAGCCCAGGTTCACATAAGTAACGTGTTTCATCCAACCAACAAAACAAAAAAAACGTAATTTTACTGTCATATTTAATGAAGAGAAGCATCAAATCCTCACATTAAAGAAGCTGAAATCAGCAAATCGTTGACATATGTAGTTACAAAATAATGATTAATCAATTATATAAATAGTTGCAAGGTAGTTAACTTCACTAAAAAGTTATCTATTTTCATTATCGAGTTGATTATTTTACTGATTAATCTATTCATCTTTTAGTCTATATAAAATGTCAGAAAAGAGAAAAAAAACTGACTTCCCAGAGCCCAAGGTAATATCTTAAATGTGCTTGTTTTGCTCAAGCAACAATTCAAAAGCCCAAACTATTAATTTTTACTGCAAGAAAAAAGAGAAGATGTATCATTCCTTTATTCAATGCAGAGTACAAACTAATATACATGGTTATCTTAGCCAGTAACGTGTTGTTTTAGAAAGAATTTGTAATTAATAAAATAGAAAAATACATTTGGTTCTTCTGCAGATTTGAGAATGTGACTGGTATTTAAGGGATGGTGGGGTAAAGTTTGTCAGAAGTGATGTCATTCAACTGCATTATTCTCTACAGTATAACATCATATATTTAATGCTAGCCAGGAATGGTTTTAAATTAGCTGTGCTGTCATTTAGGATGATATATCGGCCTTGTGAGTGCAGGTATCGACCAATGACGCTTATCTCAAATATAGGATCTATATCGCCAGATATAGGTCTGTCACTAAATTGTTGCATTTCAGAAGCTCTAACGAGGAAGTGATTGTCCTTTTTGGTAGAATTAAACAATGTATTCTCCTTCCATCTACTAATCAATTAATTAACTTACAGTTCCAGCACTTAATTACAGTGCTGAGAATTCAGTACATACTTGCTGTGAAGTCCTAACCACTGAGCTACTGCACTGCTTCCTTTTTATATTATTTACATTTCCGTAACATAAATCCCCCTTTTGCAGCTGTCACATTCTGCAGCAACTGAAAATGTTTTGTTAGTCACCCTTTTTTTAATTTTTTTTTTTTTTTTTATAAAACCTCTAGGGAGGCGTTTCACTGAGCGTGCATGCTCTGCTTAACATTCATACAGTCAGACACGTTCACAGCTGGGAGCTGTCCAGTATGATCATATCCCTCTACAGCCACCTGAGCAGCTCCACTGTGGCGTCTGGGGGATTAAGGTCTTGCTTTAAAGACCACTGTGTGGTAAATGCTGCGGGAGTTTCTAGCTGGGCTGCAAATTTGAACTGGCAATGTTCCAATGTCTAGGAGAACGCGTGCTGGATGTGTCGAACACTGTCCCTCTCTTTACTGTAGAGTCAGCTGGCGTCAAACTGAAACTGAAAGCTTTGTTAAGCTCCCGTCGTAGCAGACCACACATTGCAAGCTGAGGGGAGGAGGGGTGTACACACTGATAACGTCTAATGCAGATTGTGAGCACTTCAGACCTGAGAAAATGTGTTAACAGCATCTCCCTGCCACTGGCGTGCTATCATGTTGGAGAAATATAACAAGATCATTGCATCAGCCCATGCACAATCACCAGAGCATTGTACTGTGAATGTGATCAAGGCCTGGCGAACAGCGTATGAGCAGTAGCAGTATGAGTGTAGCTGGAGTGATGTGTGCATCATGTGTCCCTGCTAAATATCCCGAGGCTAGCATTAGATTTTCCCTGCAGCTGGCTGTGTGGCTAAGGCTCAATTCAACTAGTAAAATGATATAATGAGACATCTATTGCTTTTATAGAAATTTGGACACTGTAGTAGTAGTAGTCTTATTAGCTTGGATGCATTGCGGCATCACAAGGAAGAAATGTCACTTTTTGTTTCTCCCATACACACACATACACACACACACCCACACACAGATCCTTTTCACACATGTTCTACTTACACTCATACAACGCCATTAGTGCAAAGTGCTGAGCAAAGCCTCATAGGGAGCAGACTAATCAGTGTGTCACACAATGATAAATAATTGTCTGGTTCAGCCGCACGCAGCAACGCCACCCAACCCCCTCAGTCACACACACACACACATTCACAAGTACAGCATTACCCGAACAAGGATGGAACGCTGTGTCAATTTAGACCCGCCGTTTGCTCTTATCGGGCGGAAAGTGCAGAGAGTGTCTTAGTGCTGATATCCATCTAACAAAGTTCTCATGTTCTCTGTGTCCTTGATGGGGATTTATGACCTGGCAGCAGAGAGAGTTGGTGTCGAGCTCTGACCTGTGCCAATTTTGCTGCCGATCGTCTGTTATCACTTACAGTAATGAACAGGTCGCGGCTGTGCTGGGTCAACAGGTTGGCGCATGAGTGTCTGAGCTGAACCACAGGGTGTGTTTGAATGATATGCAGAGAAAACTGCAGTTAAATCAAAACTCTACTTTAGTAAAAAATGTCACATTTACTTTGACAATAGTTAATTTAACGATAGACGGATTTTGTTCTGTCCTAATTAATTATAGTATGACCAGCTGAAGTTTCTGGACTGCTGGTCCAGTAAGCTGATTAGTTGGTCAAACTGCTGTTGCTATGGTGGCTGTTGTAATTCTAATTACAGGGTATTCTAGGATTGGACAATATGACAGTTATACATTGTGTAATACCTATACCTTTTGCACTATCTGGTACAGTATTAGTATTTTGTATAATTTTTGCATCAAAGTGATGACATACTTTGATTTTTTTAGGTATTTAATTTACTTATTTAACCGAAAAAACAAATGTTCCTGTTATTTTTATCAAGTGATTTTTTTAGACAGAAGATGGATGGTTTGAAAGAGGTGTCAAGGAAGCTATCTACACCCGGATGTATCTGTCGCTGAACAGGGGAGGGGTCTACGCCACCATTTATCCCCCACTTACAATGCTGTCCTTTCATCACTTCCCAGGAAACTCAACAAACGTAACCTATTGGCCTCAGGTGAGGCTGCCAACGATGGTCATTCAGTCTTGGCATTGGGTAGTCCTAACGACCATAACGACTGTTGTTACAACAGCCAGGAACACTAACGAACCAGCAGTATCGACGATCCTGGCTAACGACCCCACTGAGGTTAAATAGCTTAGTTTCCCTACCAGTCAGTCAGAACTGAAGAAGTCCTTTGGATGAGGGACGACGCGTCTTCTAGTATCTTTAACCAAGTCCAGTTGCCCTTGACTTTAACCTTCTTTGGATTACCTGGTCTTGATGTTTGTCTGTTGTTCATCTGTTTCTGTGCCGTCTTATTTTGTTAATGTTGCCCTTGTGCGTCTCTGTGAGTTTCACTTCCTGGTTTATTTTGGAGTTGTCTGTGCCTGGTTTCTTTGTCTAGCTTTGTTCAGTCTGATTAGTCCTATGTGCCTCATCTGTGTTCAATCACTCTGCCTCCTCTGTTTCTCTATATAGGGTTCCTTGTTCTCTTTGTTCTTGTCGAGTTATTATAGCTTG